TTACTGTACTTCATTTTGGAAATGGAGATGCATTTCTCTTTAAAAAGCAGTCAAAGACATTCGTAACAGCATGTGGTACCCAATTCAAACAGAAAATATAAACGACAGTGCTAACTCCAATGGATTGGTTTTAATTGCCGCCAAAGAATTACAACAGAGAACCAACTGTAGAGAAGGCAAAATGTTAAAAAAAAATGGATATTTCTGTGTAGTAGCAAGTCTATTTTGAGAGCAGATATTTAACCAAATAATTTAACTAGATCAAAGACTGCAATCTAATAGGTCAGAGGAGGCGATGAACTTAAGCAGTAGGTCTTTTCAGTCTGCCTCTATTTGCTCTTACACAGTTTAACTAGCAGAGCCATCTAGTGTTCAGAGCAGGTATAAGAAACATGACTGTGGAGAAGATCTGCTAATTCCAGCACACTCAAGTAAATGAAAACATAAATGCAGGACTGGGAGTAACTATCAAAACCAAATCCATGATAACTAAAGCCCAGCCAAATGGAGCTTAAAAAGGGACAGTTCTCAGTGTTTAGTGTATCGGAGTATAATAGCCAATGTTAATAAGTTCTCAGTGTTTAGTGTATCGGAGTATAATAGCCAATGTTAATAAGTTCTCAGTGTTTAGTGTATCGGAGTATAATAGCCAATGTTAATAAGTTCTCAGTGTTCAGTGTATCAGAGTATAATATCCAATGTTAATAACCATCACTTTGAGCCAGATGTTGTAGTGCATGTTGGCAGGCAGAGACAGGCAGATCTCAAGGCCAGCCTTGTCTACATAGTGAGTTCCAGGACAGCCAAGGCTACAAAAAACAATAATAACGATAATAATAAAAACAATTTTGTGTATTTGTGTATACATGGTTGTGTGTATACGTATATATGAGGGGGTGTGTACACATATTTGTGTGTGTGTGTGTGTGTGCACGCACGTGTGCTAAGCAAGCCAGGGATTGATGTTGAGTGTTTTCCTAGACCACTGACTCCAACCCCCCTAGGCTGGGGTTACAGATGCACCCTGGGAATTGGAATGAAGGTTCTCTATGTCATGCTTGTGCAGAAGGGCTTTACCCACTGAGCCATCTTCCCAGCTCAGTAGTAGAAAGATTAAGGTGTATGTCATATATTGTTAGAGAGCTGGGCTGTCTGAATGATTCACCCCCTGTCCCTAGCCAACTCTTACTATAGGAGTCATGTTTAGTTTCAAGCCAGGAACTACTGTGCAGGGTTCACAATAATGACATGAACTTTAAACCTGTGGACTGAATGAAGACTAATTAACAAGAACAAACGACTAACATCTTCTGAAATACAGACAATGATACACGAAGATGAGAGGCAATTTTTCTTTTACAGTTGGATTCATTAGCAAGGGGTCCTAGAACATCAGCACATAAACACCAAATTAATATTTCAAGTATATGGCAATCGTATTTTCAACCAAGTTATTTTTAGCAAGTTTTTAGTAAGACACGAAATGCACACAGGGATGACAGGCAGCCAAAACACGCATGACACAGTCCATGCACGTGACCGACAGAAAAGCTCTCAGCCTTTTCCAGTCTACTTACTCTTAGTTTAGACACTGTTCTAGCAAGTTTGGCAATCTGGTCTCTCAGTCCACAGCAGCTTATAAGCAGCAAATTAAGGGCCTACTGCAGGAGGCAGGCACACAACACAGCGGCAAAAGTGACAGCTGATTATAGGGGAAGAGAGAGAAACTGTGGAGAGAACACACACAGCTGAAAAAGCAAGCAGTATGAGATTAGGCAGCAAAGGGGTGCTTGACATTTTATGTCTCCATTGTCCCCGAGCGTGGATGTGTTTATTTTCCACCAGAGGAACTGGTATTCTCAAAGAAGAGGTTAAACTATTTCCTGTACATGCTAGAATTAAGGGAGAGAAGTACAAAGTAGGTCCCCTTAGTAGACTGTTAAGTTTGGGGATTAAATGGATTTGCTTCCATTCCCTGAAAGATGAAGGGACTCAAGTTAGTCACTGCTGATGAGGACACTGGATGGTCGCTGGACTAGGCATTTTGTTGTCTCTTACTGCCTGTGCTTTTAATCTAAGCATAGAGAGCACAGACATGCCCCCATAAACAGATGTGAGAAACAAAATCAACCCTTATGCTCGGTGTCTGGTTGTTGTTCAAGCTTTGTTACTCGCTTTAGCTCAACCAGGCTCAGCTACGTTACACTTCAGCCTCCAGTGTCTGGTTCTTATATCCTTGTTCTAGTTGGGCGTAAGAACGATATACTACTATAAGCCAACCAGTGGCTCCCCATATTGTTTCTGTTCTTTAGCAGCATGAAACATGATTCCTGTTTTACATGGGAAGGAAACAGCGGAGGGAAAATGAGATCTCGAGCCATTTCTAATCAACACTTAGTCAAGCTATAGCTTTTTAAATGCACCAGAAGTTGACTTTTCCTATGCTTAATATTCAAGCACTGTGACTTTTATTATATGAATCAGGATATTACTATTTTAGTAAACTGAGATATATATTTGTAACCAGATCTTACTCTTCAGTCTGAAAAGCATTATTTCTTTTTAAATCTCTAAGAAATCAGAAATATCATTTAGCAATTCGGAGAACTTGAGAAAACTTTCCCAACATGATCCTGTGTACTTACGTCCCATGAATGAAAGGCCTGGGATTCAGACTCCAGCTGCTTTCTGCAGTAAAGCCTGGCCCCTGCGCTCGCTTGCTCCCTCCCTCCCTCCCTCCCTCCCTCCCTCCCTCCCTCCCTCCCTCCCTCCCTCTCTCTCTCTCTTTTCTGGCCCCTGCTTGCTCTCTCTCTCTCAGGTTCTCACTGTGCACCCAGTGGTCCTCCTGAATGTGCACCTGGAGTGCTGGCATTATAAGCATGAGTCAGGCCGTGCTCTGAAATCTAGATTCTTACACATTCTTATCAACTTGCTTTACGTGTGTGTCTTTTTCCTGATTTGCTCATCATCAGGTCCTAATGAAATGGATCCGGACGCTGAGACTACAATTAGCTTTAACAAGGACCTTAGATAACAGACAAGGCTTGCAAGGGATAAAGAAAAATAGCCGAGGATTGCAAATGAAACAGCACTCTGGCCCCAGATCTGCCAGACATCAGAGAAAAAGGCTTTGGGGCATGGCGACAGACCCGGATCACTTACTGTCCTGACGTTCCATCTGTAGACACACAGGGTAAACATCCGGTTTTCACGAGTGACCTAAACGGCATGCAGTTTCTCTCTGAGTTCTAGGTTAGTTCTGGTAAAACAAACCTTGGCAATTTCTGTACTAGAAGCTGTCAGAATACGATTCCCAACAAGATTAATCATGCTGTAAAATTTGGAAAAAACAATTATAAGTTATCTGCCAAAAAAGTTTTTTTTTTTTTTTCCAGAAGGCTCTTCTGTTCATCGAAAGACAGCTATTAAGCCCAGTCAAGAAAAAGTGAGGTAGCCTTAGGAAAACACACGTAAGGGCGTCCACTTGCACCCCATCAGCCTGTCCACACACAAAATGAACTCGTGGCAAGAAGTACCTACGAAGGATCTTAGACTTTATTGGGCATAAACAGTACCTCAGTCTCATATCAAAGCATCCAAGAATCACAGAGAGCATGGCTTAAAGTCTGCACTAAAAACAGTACTTCTGGTTCATTATGACCCAGGTGCCCACTAAAACAACCAAGGAACACCAAGTCAGAATGTTATAAGAGAAAATTACTCAAGAAAATTTCACAGAGAAAAAAGAGCTTTATGTTGGAAATATTTTAAATGATGAAAGAAATATGAAAACTATTATCTAAAAAGAATATCACTTAACATCACAATGTCCTTCATCATGACTTCAGAAAGCAGTTTGTATGAAACTAAATAAGAGCCTGTGAACAAAACAGATGAGCCTGGAAGACTGGGAATTCTAATTAAACTTCGTATTTCAGAGTCTGAAAGCATCAGCCCAGGGAGCAGAACACTGATAAAATAGTGTTGACTGACTCAAAACAGACTAAAAGAATTAAAATGATTAAATTCCAATTTTCCCTGTGTTATAAATTAAAAGAATTCTTAACAAAGTTTCCCTAATAACTTCTTTAACTATGGAATTGGAAACATTAATTTAAGTAAGAAAGTAAGACTGTTACTTAGGAATACAGAAGTCAGTTACAACACAGGAGGCTCCCTTTTTCTTGAGATTTAGCTATTTCCTTGTCCAATTGAAGGTACTGCTCCTGACATGTTAGTAGTGCTAATTATCAGAAAAATGCAAAATCACTAACAGTCCAAAGCCTATTCATATAAAGTAGAAGATTTTCCTCAGGGTAAAACACAGTTACTAAAGCTAAAACAGTGAGACAAACATAAGTAAATTTCCTCACTAAAAGCAGACAGTAAGTTACAGGAATTCACACCCTTTCCTCCTAGAACAGCAGCATAAATTTAGTTTTTCTTACAGTCCTCCCAAATCATGTCTGCGAACTCGGTAAGTACACAGCAACGACAGGTTCCAGTGACAGAATGTTCCCAAAAATATTGCCGAGAACACAATCAAAGCAGACGAGACTGGTAAGTGGACAGCATCGCTGTAAAATGGATTCACCACGAAATACAAAGGGACAAGGACGCTTTCCAAGAAAGCTGACGTGTTTCCTGAGTCTTAGTAAGATAGGCCAGGCTGGAAAACAGCGCCATGACCTACGGAAGCAGAGGCACAGTTGTCTCCAAGTAAACGAGAGAAGGAGCTTTCTGTGGGGTTGGAGAGGGGCCTTTGATGTAGGGACGTTTCTTTGACATCGTTTCTTTAAGCTGCAACAGGGACCCACAGCAACAACAACAACAACAACAAAAACTACAAGGGTGTTTCTTAAAATGGCACAGTATTTCCCTTTTGAAGGTGTATGACACCTTAAAATGAACACACATTTGAAAATAAGGAAACATGAAATATGTCACAGCCCAAACACCTTTGAAACTGCTTTAAAGTTCCAAACCCCAGAACACATCAATTGTAGGAATTAAATATTTTTATTCAGAACCTGTATCCTTGTTTTAGGAGTGGTATAAACAAAATAAAATACGAACAACATATTAACATGATCGCTGCAGTCACACACTGCAAGGACACAGCAGAAAGAGCTCGTTCTAATGCTCTGCAAGAGAAGAATCACCCCTGTTACCCTTATGGCAGCAAATTTTGGCAAAAAAATGATAAGTTCATTTCCTATTAAAATACTTAAAGAATTGCCTAGATTATCAGTCGTGCCATAAATAAAACAGCAGTCTATTAAAAAATGCCCTCACCTCCCTCTCCTATCCCTAGAAGACCTGCCTACACAGGTGTCTGCTAATTTCAGGTCAGGTTTCAGAGCAGTGCTCACCCTGTAAATCAACGACTTAGCTTTATATAGAGTAAACACACACTCATTCCCTTCCAGTCTGGAAGCTAAAACACTTGTAGGAGGGCCGACCAGAGATCACTTCATCTCCGTCTTTATTTCTCTCCCACCTCGTTTTCACTTCCTTCAACTGTTGGTTCTTCCTCCTCATCGCCGAAAGTCTGTTCCTGCATGGTGGTGAACGACAGAGACCTGGCAGCCACCTCTGCAGCCAGGCCAGCGGTGAAGGTGAATTCTGGTGACAACTGTAGTCGGGCCAGCCTCTGCTTAATGGAGAGCTGGAGCGAGTCCCTGGGAGTTTGAGGGGCAGCGGCCCCAGCAGCAGCAACGGCCTGGGGAGACTCGGCCTCGCTCTCACACTGGTAGAACATTCTTTCTTCAGCTCCTCGCAGGAAGGCTTCATTTCCACACGTGTCTTTGTTTTCATCCTCTGGAGGGCTGTCACATACAAACTCAGTCCTGTTTCCTTCAGGGTCACGTGGAGAGGGCTCACTACCTTCCTCTTCAGGACCATTCCTATTGACTTTTCCTGTCTCTGAATGCATGGGTGTTTCTGAATTACTTACAGATTCCACTGGGTCTACAGGAGACAAGGATTTCAACACAGCTTCAAAGAACAAAAAGAGGAAAAGAAAAGAAAAGAAAAAAACAACAAAAATAACTAAGGACCCAATGACTTTAAACTCCCAGTAACTTTTTAGAAAGGAACAATAAATAAATAAATGTTCAATAAAACTTTCTAGCAAAATAAATGTAAGGTTGTAAAATGGGGAATGTCATGACATAAAATGAGACAAAGGCAGTGGTCCTCCAAGCATGGCCCTGGAATCAGCAGGCCCATCTATCCCAGAGGAAGCTGCTGGAAACAGACCCTAGAGTCTGATCACAGGCAGGGATCTGGACACCGGCTGGGGTGGGCAAGTTTACAAGCCACCCACTTGATTCTGATGCACACTAAAGCTTGGGGACACTGTCATTAAAGGGGTACATTGTGTGGTTTTCGTAACACAGATAGAAAGCCTAGCGTGACCCAGACAACAGCAGCTTCATCACACGTATGTCCACAAGGTAAACAGCATGGGAAAGTGTAACAGAGAATCCAACTTACTTGGCCGCCACCTAACAGAACCTGAAGGGAAGTGGTCTACATTTCGTTGTGCTACGGAGAACACAGATGAAATAAATCTGCATTCAAGATCAACTACCAAAGTATAACACATAAATATCATGTAGATCCATACAGTAGATGTTGTCCTTGCAAGAAAAATGAAGGTTTAGTTAGCCCCTCTTGGTGTTAGTAGGCAGTGGGTTGCTGGCTAGGCAGTCTCTCCCAGCACGAGGGTTAGTACGATACATTCTATTATGAAGCATGGCGAAAGGAAAAAGCACATCCTGAAGATCTGGCGTATGTTTAAAAAGCACTTGTGTAAAACGTGTCCATTTCCAAGAAACATCCCTACGCTGCAGTCACTCCACTAGGGAGGCAGCAGCAACAGACACATGGCCACAGCAGGTTCCAGAGCAGGCTTTCCCTCTCTAACTCCATTCGGACTTTACCCCTGTAGGCAGAGATGAAAACAACTCTGGAAGACACACTGAAACTTTTTGTGGGAAGGCATTTTCTGGCATCAGTAGAGTTTTACTTATTTTCACCGACTATACAGCATTATTGCCTTTTCAAATGCAAATGGAATCAGACGCTTGTTTCTGAAAATGAGACACATTTCTCTCATCTGCCCACAATGTCATTTTACAGCTAAATACTACGAAGGAAACTTTTATGACTGGCAGTCACAAAAGACACAAGCATATAGGTAATACCATCCCCAGCATTTCTGCACACTCTTGTTCATCAGTCGGCTAGGTCTTCACAAGTGGACCATGTTTCAAGCCATGATGGCTGCTAACTGGATGCGGGAGGCAGAGTATGTGGAGGGAAGGGTCAGCTGAGGACAGTGTCCGAATGGAAGTCTCTAGGGGAGTAGCTATGTTTTGTCTGCTGATCTATGTGCTACACACAGCAGTAAACAGTGTCGGGGTCTGACAGGTACTCGGTAACAACTTGTGGATCAAAGTTTGCTGACTGAATACTGCTGGAGAATAAAAGGACCGAAATTTAGAGACTGAAAACCCTGAACACAGAAACTGGCCATGTCTCTCTAACTCATGAGCAAGCTGATTCTAGAAGTCTGCTATGCTTCTGGAATGGCCACCATTGCTCCGCTCTTACGCTCAAGCCTTCCTCTACATCCCAGCTACATGTCTCTCTGGGGTGAAAGTCTATGGTGGCCGCAGAGGTGGGGCAGTGGGGGGGGGGGGTCACAGAGGGAGCACTCGGAGAGGACAGCTTGGTGAGAAGACAGACTTGGTCAGAGACCAGCATCCATTTTCTTTGTGAGTGTAAGCAGCAAGTCTGTGGGACTATCTAATTAGATAACTAAGTTGAGAAGGGCACCTTTATTAGAAACACTGGGAAATACAAGTGGACACGGTGGATTCTTATGCTGGAAAGGCGAATATAATAAGAAAGGTGGAACTATTGTAGTTTTGAGACAGAATTAATGAGCTGTTTGAGTCTGAACAAAGTCTGGAATATGTTACAGGAAAGCTTAGGGGATAAAGATACTGAAATTGGGGTCAGCTAAGGGGCTTTTCTAATGGACAAGCATAATCCAGTGGGGATTTAGGTTCTGAAGGGAGCCAAAGGGACGCAAAGAAGATTGAAACCAACAAGTGTAGACTGGGCCGGAGAGAAGGTGAGGGTTCACAAGAGAAGACTGGAGAACCCCATGAGCTTTGCAGACTAGAAGACCTATGCACTTCCAGTGAGGAAGGGAAAGGCAGGCGACTGGATCTGAGGGTCCACAAAGACACTCTAAAATGGACGGAAGGCCCATTCTACCTTTTTCTAAATCCACAGGGATTAACTCAACTGAGGAAAAACTCAGTTGACATTGCCAATAGCAAATTTCTCTTCATTCCTTCATTTGCCTTCCATGAAGCACGACTGAAGAACAAAGTGAGAGCAACATGAAGGTTAAGGCCAACAACATCCAGACTGGACTTAGGGAGTCAGTAGCACCAATACCTCCTCTGCTTCCAACTACTGAAGAAACTTAACCCAAGTGGCCAACGGGCCTTCATCTTTATGCATATTCAGCATTAAACAGTTATTAATGGTGGATCTTACTGAAATACTTTAAATAGAGAACAGAGCTTAGAATCTCAAATTTATTACTTTCTTTTATCTGTCCCTCCTACCCCCCCAAAGCATCTTGCTATATAGCTTAGGTAGCACAAACTTGCAGCACCAGCTGGCCTCAAACTCAAGATCCTCTTTGCTGGGATTACAGTGCCATCATGGTTAGCTCAATATATTCAATTTGATGCCCTCTATGAAAGAAATCTATCAAATAACTAAGTAACTGACAAAAAGGTGTAATTTCATAGTCTCAGTGTAAGTATAAGACATTCTTTTATGGATCAGATCGATTTTGCTTCTATATAAGAATACTACACTAACTGGTTGATGCAGAGTTCTACAGCTAAAACAGCACTCATGATTCAGAAAGAAAGGACTCCTATCATTGAAATAACCTGGACTCTGAAGTCGGAGCTTACCGTGGTCACTAAACAGAAGCTGCTTCCACTTTTGCCTTTCCGCCTCTGACGCCTTGAATCCGAGCACAGACTTCAGCTCCTGCAGCACCCTCCTGGACTCTTCCTGCTCCCGCTTCTGCCTCTCTTTGTCCTCCGGGGTCAGGTGGTACAAATCCTCCTTCCGGAACTCACTTTCTAGGTCTATGTCATCCACATAAGCTTCTAGCTCCTGAAAATGGACCAAAGACAAAGGACTTCGGGCATACAGAATTCACTACTTGCAGCTACGCTTTTTGGAGGACTTTCTCTCGGGACAATCATTATGGCAAATTGTTTGTGGACCTCGACTTCAGGGGAAAACAATGCCGTTCACCCTTACCTGCTCCTCAGGGATGGGGTCTCTGTCCTCAATGTGCAGAGTAGGTCGTACCAAGGGTGCTGCAGTGCAGTGTGGGTTTTCACACGCTATTTCAGGCTTGCCTTTAAGAAGAGGGTGGGGCAGAATGAAGATGAGCAGCAGGCCCTCAGAAATGAATGAACATCTAACGATATGACATCCTTGGCACCAACACCTTGTTGGGTTCCTAGACCAACTTTCTGTTTTCCCCGATTTTCTTATTTTGAGGTAGGGTCTTCCCAGGAGCCCAGGTTAGTCTTAAACTAATGATCTTGTATCTTAGGTTCATGAGTGTTAGATTTTTGATGTGCACATCCATAACTGGCTACCAAATTATTCTGGTTAAAATATCTTATTTGTGAAGATTAAAGACACCAAAGTTAATAGTAACAGCAGTATATTTAACATATGGCTTTAAGTTAAGTTTTGAAGAATGGCCATAGTATCTGTCACATGCTTGAGGATGCACAAATGCCCAACTCCCACGAATTATTTTGTTCACAGTGTTGGGAGGGCTTTAAAACAGATCATTATTCTTTCTCATTAAAAAAAATAAAGAACACAGGGAGTGGTGGTGCACCCCTTTATCTCAGCACTTGGGAGGCAGAGGCAGGTGGATCCCCACGTTTGAGCTAGCCAGGTGTACAGATTGAGTTCCAGGACAGCCAGGGCTACAGAGAAACCCTGTCTCAAAAAACAAACAAAAAATAATAAAAGAAAACAAAGATCAATCTTATGTTATTTTTATTTTCCCATTTTCCATTATTTTAACTCAGAATTGGAAATGAGTTACACAAGTAAATATTTTCATGGGTTCGCCCAAGCTGAGTTTAGCTTTAATTAACTGAATTTCAATTTGCTATATAATCATGTGATTACGTATTTATATATAATTATACTTTTCATCATTATATACTTAAAAAGAAGTGGCATACTCCTGTAAAACCAGAGGTGGAGGCAGAAGGATTAGGAGTTCAAAGTCATCTCCAGCTACATTGGTGAATTCAAGGACAGCTACAAGAGACCCTGCTTGAAACCACATCCAGCCAAAGCCATTCCTTTTGTTTTTTTTTGTTTTTTGTTTTTTTTTTTTGATACAAGGTCTCTGGATGGAGTCCTGGCTGTCCTGGAGCTCACTATGTATACCAGGCTGGCCTCAAACTCAGAGATCTGCCTGCTCCTGCCCTAAGTGCTGAAATTAAAGTTGTGTGCCAACACACCTGGCTTAAACCAGTTCTTTTTTTTGGGGTGGTGGTGGGCTGGAAACAGGGTTTCTCTGTGTAGCATTGGAGCCTGCCCCAGTACTCATTCTGTAGCCCTGGCTAGCCTCAAAAGAAGATCCTTCTGCTTTGCCAAGTTCTGGGATTAAAGGCGTGCGCCCCCACCGCCCAGCCAGTTCCTTTATTACTCAACCTGTAAGAGTTTCTGGAAGTTCTGATAGTAGAAACGCTGTCGACATTTCTCTGTTCATTTCAGTTTTTTAAAAGGAGACATGATGCCCTGAGCATTTAAATCATTGTGTATTTTATATTGAAATAGGAGTCAAGACTTTGGATTCATTTTGTGTTTGTGTGTGATGTCCACAGACAGGCCACAGAAGAGAAGCCCAGCAGAATGGATAAGCACATCTGACAAGCACAAGCTGAAAGGAATCCACCTTTTTTCTCTGTATTCCTCCGCAGCAGTTTATCCACTTGGGAGATGGCTTCCTCCCAGCAACTGTTGCTGGCCTGCACGTGGGGCTCAATCATCTTCAGCTTCTGCTCCAGTACCGGATAGGCCTCTGACAGCAGCTCTTGTGTCTCTTTAGTGCAAACAAGCTTCTCAAGCTCATCTTCAAGAATTATTACTCTGTGCAACACAGGAAAACAGAAACATTTTTAAAGTATGAAGCGGAAATTTTATCATTTAATAGGGCTATTTTAAGAATCAAGCCCATAAAATCGAACAGTTCTAGAGACAGATAAAGTTGTTCAACAGTGCGTGCATTTGCTACCATTCCACTGCAGGCTTACAGATGATGGAGTGGGGCTGAGATGTAGCTCAGTGACAGATCATGTGGTCGGCAACCTAAACACCCTTCCCCCAAGAAACTAATGAAAATCTATACGGAGTAGTGTGTGATACAGTCCACAAGTATTTCTTACACACATACGAGACAATTTCTGATCTGAAAGAATAAATTAAGTCCATCTCCGAGTTTTAAGAATTAACAACAGGAAAATTATATACACCTATATATGTTGAAATTATATATATTTAAACTCATATATATTAATATTTTAAATATATGGATTTGTAGACTTCTTTTTTTACATGTATGACTATTTTGCTGCAAGGATATCTGCACCACAAGTGCACCTGACGACTGCAGAGTCAGAGGGGGATGCTGGATCTCCTGGAACTGGAGTTATGGATGGAAAGCTCTCTTACAGCTTATATCACGGGGCTGGAGAGATGGCTCAGTGGTTAACAGTACTAGTGGCTTACACCCATTTGGGGCAGCGCATAACCATTTGTAACTACAGCTCTAGTGTATGCAACACCCTCTTCTGGCCTCTGTTGGCACCTGCACAGACATATGCATAAATAATAAATCTTTTTTTTTTTGAGATAGGGTTTTTCTATTGCGCTCTCTCTCTCTCTCTCTCTCTCTCTCTCTCTCTCTCTCTCTCTCTCTCTGTATTCATTCTTTTGGCTCTAGTGAACCCTTTCTCATACACTTGGATAATCCAACCTCTGCTCCCACACAGGTAGAAATGGCCTTATTGTTCACGTCGCTATCTTAGGGTAGAATAGATAGGTCACTGGGATGCTCCCACCTCAGCTTCTTCCCTTCTCCTAGCCTATCTTTCCTGGGTCTCCTATCAAGCTCAGCTTCTCACATGCTTCTCTGCTTCCAGGTCTGCATCTATCTTTGTCTATCTTGTCTCCCTTCATCCCTCTTAAGCTTTTAGTTTGTGGAGTAGTCCAGGCCTTTGGGCCCACTTTAGCTCACATGTGATTTATGCATTTTCCCTTCGACTTCATGACTGATAAGTCTACCAATTTCAATCTTATCACTTCAGTAAATCCCAGCGACCTTCCTCCTTGACTGCCAGCTCAGCTTGACCACCCATTCGCTCCAGCCCTACACTATGAAAATTTCACATTTGTGGGAGAAATTCAACGGAAATGACTACATTCAGATGTACTTTCATCAAGTCTTTGTTTTTCTTTTCCTTTTCTTTTTTGAGACAGGGTCTCTCTCTGTAGACCAGGCTGGCCTCAAACCCACAGAGATCCACCTGCCTCTGCCTCCTAAGTGCTGGGATTAAAGGCACCCATCACCAGGCTTGGCTTATTAAATTTTTAAAATGTGAAAATTTCCATTTAGAAACAGATGAGAAAAATAGTTAGAACTGATAAAAGTATACCAAAGCAGATTATAAACATCTGGAAGCTATAGCTGAATGGCAATATTATGTAAAGTAGAAGATAAACAAATACAAAAATATGGACACTACCCTTTACTGAGGCCCAAAAGTCTATTCTGTGCTATAGAAATACTTCCAAACGTGCTGTGATATATTGAGAAAGTAGTGAAGTATGACCCTTTACATAGTGATGCCTGTCATGCACATTGCTCCAGACTGTGGGTTCCAGTTTGAAGTCCCACCTTACGAGGGTTAAAAAGATGCTCACTTTTGATAATCCTCTCCACTTTATCTCTCAACAAGGAGCGTCTGCTTTCTGCTGAAACCAGGCAAAGGAAACAATTACAAATGATTCTCCTAAACCATGGTGCTTCTAAATCATTGTCTCCCTGGTACCTCACCCAAAAACCTTCCTTCATGCTTCACTGTGTTTCTTCTTTCTAATGAGGACACAAGAAACAGCCAAAAGGGGATGAAAACGTTGGCTTAGCCCAGCGGTGTTTCCTTACCGAGTTTCTACACTTACTCATTCAGCAATGCTTTCAGGTGGAGCTGTAAGCTGCGCACTGCCGTGTGAACATTATTCAGTTCTCTCGACTTTGGCTGGGTTTTGGATGAACGCTGCGGTACTGACTGATGCTGAGTTTCAAAGTACCGGAAGAACTCATAGCTGCGCTTCAGCTCCTCCAAGCAGGCAGAATGAGCGTGAGGTAGACCTTGAGTCACGTCAGACAGAACTCGGTGAGGCAGGAGTGCCTCAGTGAGTAGGGGCCCTGAGGGCGAATTGGCTGTAGAAAGCAACAGGGCTAAGCGCCTGAAGAACTCTGAACTCTGTGCCACCCAGAGCTGGAACAAAACCTGAGAGGGAGAGACAGAAGGGGGTGGGGGAAGGAGAGCAAGAACACACTGATCAATACAGATATCGTCAATATTCAAACCACAAACTTATTTACCTTCCAACTTTTAACTTTTCACATTATCCTAAATAACCCCCCCCCCCATTATACTAAATGACGACTAAACTGAACCCGAATGAGTTCTGGGATTAGCCAAGGATGCTATCTGGAATTATGTAGGATTCAGGATTCTAACACAGAAGCCAACACCTATATGTAATTTAGCACAGTTCTACCCTAGATAGAAATGAGCTAAGAATGGATGGAGGGCTGGAGAGATGGCTCAGTGCTCTTCCAGAGCATCTGGGTTTGATTCCTACCACCCATAAGATGTCTCACAAATGCTTGTAACTGCAGCTGCAGAGGAACGGGACCCCTCTGACTTCATGTGGAATCCAGACAGATAATTAAAAACAATAAAGTGAAGTTGGCTATGGTAGCGCATGCCTATAATCCCAGCACTCGGGAGGCAGAGGCGGGCGGATCTGTTGAGTTTGAGGCCAGCCTGGTCTACATGGTGAATCTCAGAAGTCAGGGATATATACAGATAGACCCTGCCTCAAAAATTTATTGAAAATGAATTTTCCTTTTCAAAATCTTCCAGGCTGGTGAGACGGCTCAGCAGGCAAAGGCACTGGTTACAAAGCCTGGCCATTTGTCTCTGTCTCCACTGCTCACGTGATACAAGGAGAGGACTCCTGCCAGTTGCCCTCTGACCTCCACAGGAACGCTGTGGTATGTGTGCATCCATACACATACGCTAAGAATTGGAGGTTGACGAGCTCAACAGTTAGCAGCATTTGTGGCCAGGATAACGGCTATGCATTCACTAGTCAAGCTTATACTGTCAACACCTGTATGTGAGCGCTCTCTGAATCATCACTGATAACAATTCCTATTAGCTTCTCATATCCTTCGCAAAATGACTTAGTATTCCTTTCTTTTTATTTTTTATTTTTGGAGTTTTATTTTATGTGCATTGGTTTTTGACTAGCATGGATGTCTGTGTGAGCATGCTGGATCCTCTGGAACTGGAGTAACAGACAGTTGTGAGCTGCCATATGGGAGCTGGGAACTGAACCCGGGTCCTCTGGAAGAGCAGCAGGCTCTCAACCACGAAGCCATCTCTCCAGTCCCAACGTAGTATTTCTATTTGTATTTCTTGCAATAGTATTATTAAAAATTCTATTTCATTGAATGGTTTTGCACTTCTATTCTGTGAATTACCAGTCCATAGGTTCTGTACACTGCATTTTCTTATTTGCATTTGCAGTGCTGGGGATGGAACCAAGGCCCTCATGCATGTTAGGCAAGCAATCGACTGCTGAGATAAACTCCTACCCTTCTAAGTTTTAGTTACCTTATAATTCTTTATACAGAAAGAATTCAAATTATCATAGTTTTTACTTTATTGTACTTCAGATATATAGTATTTGAAGAAGAAATTTTATTTTCATATTGTCAATTATATTCTTTCATGAGGCTGTTTTAGTGAAAAAATTCTTTTTTAAAGTATGAAGAAAAAATTGGGGGAATTTTATATAGGGCTATACACCCCGCCCCCCACCGCTTTGCCCAGGTTTGTTGAAATAAGCTCATGCGGGCTTCCTATCAAGTAATTCACTTATTTCTAAACAAACTCTACGGCATTCTTAAGTTACGAGCACTGACACCAAAATACAAAGGTCTCTTCATCCGATCTGTGTGCTCTCTCAGCTCTCAGTGTCATAACATCGAAAGCACTGGAAACACAGCATCTAGGAACACAGAGGGAAACAGGACGTGCACACTCCGCAGTCCTCCATTCTAAATGGGTTACCTTCAAGGCCGGCAAGCTGAAGCCATCTGTCAAGTTACGAGCTTCCTCTTCTGATATCTGCTCTTCACTGAGGCCGAGCCCCAGCTCTTTAAAAGGTACCACACAGATGTAGTTGGTAACATTGTCACTCTCAGAGTTCAGGGGGTAGGTTAAATTAGGTTAAGGCAATCAACAACACCTCTTCATTAACACATAGTCAAAAATATCCAAAACTATATTTACTAATTTTATTCTGAACCTAGACTGAAGAGTTTCACCAGTTGTTTTAAAGAAATTAATTATAGAAAGAAATTAATTATAGGAGCTAACATATTGATATAATACTCAGGTATCTTACAGGGTACTTTGAATAAGCTTTTTTTTGTTTAAATAGTTCAAAGTAGGCAGGCAGCACTCTAGTTACTGCCCAGCTTGCTGCCCTCTTCTCTGTATTCCATAAACCTCTTGCTATTCTGTAAGAAATAAAAACAACTTGTTCAGCCCTTCAAAACTGCTAAAATGCTGTTATTTTTGACACCTTCCTTCTAAAGCCGAATTTGTCCTTTATTGTGTCGTGGCTCAGGCCCTCACAGTGAAGTCTTCTCTTTGCCCTTCTAATCCACACCAGCCATCATTAGCTCAGCATGTCCTCACCAGCCTGCTCTGGCTTGTTACATACACACTGTCCCGTTTTGTTATCTTACTCATGGATGTATCAGTATCAGTCAAATTGTTTTCCCTCTTTAATTGCTTTTCTATAGTATTATACCTGTACATAAAAAAATCTTGTACTTGCATTTATTTCTCCTGAATTTATTCCTGCGTCATACATTTTATTTGTCCCTCCAGTTCTTCTGGGCTATCTTTTTCTCCTGTGCAACCTCCTTTTCTGGCTTTGAACAAATTGGGCCTTTTCGGTGAGAATCGCCTCAGTGTGGCAGGAGAGCTCACACACGACTGAGTCTACTATGAACTCTTAACACGGACAGCTATCTCATCTTGGGTGCTGTTCATCTAGACGTGGTCAAAGACTAGACATCTGGACCAAACCCTCAAGTTCAACATTACTTTTGGCAACTTTAAGCACAGAAAGCAAAACTCCAGCATTCTTTTCAGGTCAATGGCCTTGTGTCTAGCCACACTGTTTGGCCGGGGCACACCTACTGACTCTACCATTACACCACCGGACTGGCACACATGGATTCCTTGAAGTGACATCATTCATCAACTTTTCAGCTACGCACACCCTTGATGGCCTGGGCAGTTTCGCGGATGCTCTTAAAGTGCACACCAGGGTCTATAACTTGGATCTGTATAGGTTTGGAGGGTGCTTTAAGGTCAGAAGAATAGTAAATCATTTCACAGGTCCATTACAGGAAGTCCCATGCAATTTTTTTACACTTATTTCTTTTTTAAAAATCACAGTTGGGGTGTAGGAGTGATAGGAAAGTCAGCAGACTCCAAAGCTGGGTGTCCCGAGTTCAGAACGTGGCTATATCATTCTTCACGGTGATTAGTGAATTTAAGCTACGTTTTTTTCTAATCCAGGGCTCTGGAAACACCGTTAGCCTCATACGGAGTCAGGAAAGGATATTTTTTCAGCATGTACAGGGTAGCTAGCCTTGCGGCCTGGAAGTTGGCTCTCACAGTCCTGTAGACAGCTTTCCGAAGGCCGATGAGATGCTGGCTGGGATGCTGTCCAGCTTTATTAAATGAGCAAGCAGCACTGACCCTGTCAAGCAAACTTGAAAAGTAAAATGTGATACAACTGTACAGGTGTCCTAAAGTTTGTGTTTCCTAAATCCATATTCTATTAAACTTAGAGAAAAATTCTTCCTTAAAATTATTCTAAGTATCTCAAATCAAGTGTTGCCTCCTTTTTCTTGATACATTACAAACCACTAAAATACACAAACAAAAAACAACTAAAAATTTAAAAGTTCACAGAATATTTAGTCAAATATAGAGAACATGAATTTTAATTGACATAGACTAGAGGTGAGGACTATTTCTGTAAGTATTTATGGCTTTCTACATAAAGATAAAATACACTACAGTAGAACTACTTTACAGTTTCAAAACCCCACATCTACAGGTTCTATGAAGGGCTTAATTATCAACACTTTCTCATGCTTAATATGCATCTCCATTAAGTTCACTGATCACTTCTTTGGTCACGTGTACAGAGCACTTAACTACCATACATAAATCCATCTGTACGTCCATAAAAGTAGGCAGAATTACTTACCCACCTGCTGCCACTGGCACTTACCTACTCACAAGCAAGTAGGGGAGGCAGAAAGGCAACAGGACCAGTGGCCAACAGGGGAATGCAAGCAGAAAGGCAAAGGAAGGATTACGATGCGGCAAGCCAGCTGCTCTCGAGCGCTCACATTCATGGCTTTCCCTAGGCAATGGAAAGCATTTGCAGCACCAACAAGAAATGCGCTACTTCATGACTGACAGTAAGCTGGCTATTCTGATCAGTAACCTCCTCCAACGGCAAGACAAAATGTCAGCATTTGTAAACCTTCTTCATAAACCCACAAATCTACAGTACAGACATGGAACTAGAATGTTGAAAGTGTAAAATATATGGACAAAGATGGATAGACTTAATTTTAAGTAAGGGAACACAGGAAAGAAAGGCCAAATTAGTTGCTAGAAGGAAACACTGAGGCAGAAACAAACCATGAAGCATTAGGGCTTGGGCTTTGCTGAATCCATTTTACAGACGGAAATATTTCTAAGACACCGTGAGGCAAGGTCGCTTGCCACTTTTCAGCCCAGTGTCCGATTAGATGGAAACAATGAAATGACTTCTTCCAACACTTCTCTTTACCCACCTGTCACCTGATGGCACAAAGGCATGACGGGGGGTGGGGAGCCATGCTTAATGGCTCACTTTACCTTTTCATGTTAACTCCATGGAACAGATAGATATGGGTAAAAGTCAGAAAACTGACAAGTCATAGCGCCTTGCACACACGTGTGTCTAAGCTCTGGTTGGGCACATAGCCACTTAACCACTCAGGCCTCTCCAGAAAATGTTGTTATGTTGACAATGAGAAGGAGTTACTACTTAATTTAGGCGTGACTGTTTTAATTTTTAAAATTTGACAAGCAACTCAAAATTTGCTATTGACTGGCAAGAACTGAGCCTAACCTAGCGGAAGGACAAAATCAACATGCACGGGACTGTCAGGCTTTGCACCGAGCACAGAAGGCATGAGGTTGAGATTCTTCCACATCATCGATACTCTCAGGATTGTTATGAGGAGCGCAGGGCATGAAGACCATGGTGACCCCACGACTGTCCAGATAGAGCCTTTAGGGCCAGATGAAGTATTAGCCTAGAGCTCAGTGAACGATGCAGAGGCTACAAAAGGTGTCTCTCTCCTGAATTTTACTGTCTCCCAATCTCAACTAAGTTAAAGCAATTATTGTTCACTGCAGACTGACTTTTCCTAACTATAAATGGCAAGAGAAAAATGTTATATAGTGGAAAGGGGAAAAGAGAGGTGACGGGATGGCAATATGATTATATATATGTATGAAAATGTCACAATGGAACTCACTGTATGATATGTGCTAATTAAAACATTTAAAAATTACATAAATTATTGAATATACTATAGTCTATCCTTAACTGTCATTTGTGAGCATTTTGTAGGTAGCCTAGCGTATTGGAAATGGGCTTCTGAAGTCAGATAAGATGGATATGGATAATCGCTCTATGAATACCTCTAGTTGTATGGCTGATTAGCACAGCACACGGAACATAGCTGCCCTGTGTGCGCTAAGTGATGTAGGCACTTGTCTATGTAGATAGAGAGATGCCAGGGTACTCGGGAGGCCAGGGTCCTGCTGAGACGGTTCTATTATGAATCCCAGTAAGCCTCAGCAATGCCCCTGTCCCCACTCCCCTGCGGCATTGCAGTGACAGCTACACTATGCCGGGTTTTTAACAGAGGTGCTGGGGATGTGAACTCAAGCCCTTATGCTTATGCAAATGTTCTTACCTGCGGAGCCATCGCCCTAGTCCTACAATTCTCCTTTTAGTAAGCCCCAGCATGTCCTGGAGCATAAGCATGGACAGCTCGACTGCTAACCGTTCAGTTTCTCATAGGAACATGCAGCATTGTTATTAACAGGAGACTCTGAAAGGTCTAGTGCTTCAGCAGCTGCTGGTGGTTACCCAGAGAGTGTTACTAACATAGGTTAGATTTTAATGTGAAATCACATCAGATACGTCTGCCATCTGAACTGGGCAATGAGGCTTCTGGTAGGGAGTAAGGAAGCACATATCTCCTGGGTCGCCACGGCACATGCAGTCCAGGGTTAAACACTGCCACTGACTCACCCAGTCACACAGTAACAGGCCAGAGCCACTATGGTTCTCAAAACGTTTTCCACAAAACAAAGCCCTACTACACATCCATCTAGCATATAATGATTTTGTCCCTTTATTAACAGACTACGTGGACTTCCTCTGCCATAACTGTAATGTAGAAATAAAAACAAGATATTCTCCTTAAAGTAAATAGCAGAACAGAATCATTTAAAAAATAAAGTGAGAAATGAACTCACAGAGTAAATCCCCTGGAAATGACTTCGGTTTCTTGAATAAGACGCAGGGACTTTCTCACAAGGTTAGTGAAGGCTCGGCTATTTGCTGCCATGTCTTCCAAACGGGCCCTATATTTTCTCAGAGTCATTTGCAGCTTGGCTGTCCTCCATAGTTTCAAAGCCCGTGTGATCGCGTAAAGAAACAGAATTATTCCCCATACCATCCAGGAAGACACAATCCACCACGTGGGAAGCATAATGAGCAAACTAATGAAGGCAAGCAGCAGCGAGGCATCCCTGCGAACACAGAAGCCAAGAAGATGCTGTCAGACGACAGAGAGGTTGGCTACTTGAGCTGGTAGAAATAATGACAGATTTCAGTTTACTAAAACAAAATGCTAGCATCTTTATGAAGCAATACTTTAAAAATGTGGCACACATAGGGTGATGTGGAATTGTTTTCAACATTGAGCATGTCGGCTAATGCCGCCTAGGTATTAAAATCCGGCTGGTGAATTTAGGTAAAGGGCACTTGTGAGAAGTGTAGTTTACAACTGGTTTAAAAAATATGGCATTTAAGGCCGGGCGGTGGTGGCGCACGCCTTTAATCCCAGCAGAGGCAGGTGGATCTCTGTGAGTTCAAGGCCAGCCTGGTCTACAAGAGCTAGTTCCAGGACAGGAACCAAAAGCTACAGAGAAATCCTGTCTCGAAAAATCAAAAAAAAAAAAAAAAAAAAAAAAAAAAAAAGGCATTTAACACGCAAATTTGTAGGTTAACAACCCATTTTTACAGATTATATTTAAAAGTAAAAATAGAATATCAAAGATAGTTTGAGTTTGCTTTACCCAAAGCTTTTTGCACAGAAACCATATTCTGCACAGGCAGCCTGTGCTTTACCTGCAGGCATTGTGGTGCATGCTCACAACTGAAGCACCTAGGAGGCTGGATATAAAAATCTACACAATAAAACCTTGTTGCTAAAAGATCAAAGTCAAAACAACAGTAATAAAACATAGTTGGTAACTGAATGGTCATCTAACTTAATAATCATCCTAGCTTAAAAAACATTTTTGCCATAGATCATGAAGTAGATAAGCCCTGTACTTCTGTACTACACTAATGGAAATAAAGGTGTGCATCAAATTTTTATTTGAGTCAATTAAACAATGAAAACTTTGGTGAAATGTGTACACATAAGACAAAAGTACAGGCGAGTGTGTCTACGCATCCGTGAAAACAGCATCAGCAATCCTTGGAGTTACAGCACGCTCAGTCCCGTGAGAACGCCTCCTGTGTGTTGCATGTGGCTCTCACCTTCCGCCTCACTTTCTGAAACAGGGTCTTTCACTGCACCTGAAGCGGATCATTTTGCCTACACTGGCTAGCTTGGCCTCTGGGCCTGCTCATCTCCACCTGCCCATTGCCAGGGCAGCTACACACCACCCTCCACACCTGGCTCTTAGACTTCATGTGGGTGTCAGGGACCTGAACACAGGCACCAATGCAGGTGTGGCAAGCACTTTACCCACTGAGCCACCTCCCAGTCTGGAGCCCTAACTTCTTCTAGAATCTATTACTTTTATTAAAAGCTATTTGCTATGTAGTCTAAGCTGGCCTCGAACTTAGAGAGATCCACCTGCCTCTACCTCCTCAATGTCTGGATTATAGGCATGCACTATCACAACTGGCCCATTCTGTTTTTTGTTTTTAATCTTCCCAGACAGGCTATGCTGCCTGTCAACAGCTGCCTCCCCAACAGTGGCATTTCAAACATAAGCTGCCATGCCAAGCTTTTTAAAATGTGGTTGGTTCTGGGACTGAACTTAGGTCCTCATGCTTGCATGGCAAACATTTAGCAAATGCTGTCTCTAGCCCTATAAATACATAACATCTATGGTTCAATTTGCTTATATACATACTTGTAATAATAAGTATCTATTTTGTGGGTCTTTTGGAGACAAGGTCTTCACTGTGTAGTCCAGGCTGGTCTTGAACTCTTGGGCTCAAGCAAGTGTCTTAGTAGCCTACACTATAATCACACTTGTGGGATTCCACAGCACTGTGCCAGGCAAATTCTTCTATTTTTAAAGAGAACAATGTTTATTTTTTCATGATGGTATTTCATTGACTGCTGGCTTGGAAACACACTTGGCTATCCATTACAACACGACAGGAAATGGATTCAGAACACAGGACAGTTAGCCTAGTTACTTATGTAACTGGAATAATTTGGGCAGTGACTTTGTACATTTGATTCATTCATTCCTTCTCTGTTATACATAATAAAAACAGGAGAAAGGCATCAACAATTCCCATACACAATCGTATATACAGAAAATCTTTTAGTATTTAGTATTTATTTAGTAAATATCAACAAGTATTTTTCCTTGTTGAAAAAACTATTTTAAGATACATTGTTACCTATAACTTTTGCATTATACTCAAATATTTCCAGTAGCAGAAAGGTTTCAGGACTGTTTTAGTTTGACTGTTTTTGTCTTTTGAGACAAGGTTTTTGCTATATTACCCAGGCTGGCCCCTAACTCCTGGGAGTCTGTGATTTTCCTGTTTCAACTTCCCAAGTTGAAATAGTTGAAGTCATTGTCAGTTATGATCTCTTCTCAGCCAACACAGCAATAACTGCAACTTTATCTCCATGTCCCAGCCATTAGTACCTCTGACACAGCCATGATACTAGCTGACTAGGGCTGACATGCACACTGCACTGTGGTACTGATACTTGGGTATATTTATCCCCGAGAGTTGAGTTGCTAAGCAAACAACTAATTACATGGTAATTTCCCCCAGAACTTTGGTTTTGTTTTGTTTTTAATCTCTGACATATCACTATATTTGCTGTAATTCTAAATATATGGAATGTTCATAAGGCCTTTACAATAGAGAATACTATGGTAGATTTCTTCTGCCAATATTCTACATGTAAGCAGACAAAATAGAAATGTTTTCCGGACAGTACCAAACATTAGGGGTTGCCAGGGAGCTGAGGGTTGGAAGGTGTCCATTTTCCTGTTGAGGTTGCCCTGCAGACAGGATGCTGGGATCAAGTAGCTCAATTAGCTCCACATCCTCTTGTAGCAGGACTTCCTGCTGCAGGATGATATGTAGTGAGTCCAGTCGGAATCCAGTGTCCTTGCCATCAAATCAGAGGAGGAGATGAATTAATACATAGGTAAGACTGCATTAAATGCTAAGTTTAATATAATTACAGCTGCAGGTATTTATTTACAAAGGAGAATCCTAGAATAAACAACAATTAAACTTCTCCTTAGTGTGACAGGTACTTTCACTGTAAATAGAAAACAGAGATTGAGATGGACATTATTAACCTACTAGATGTGAAAAGCAAATTTTTAGTAATGAGATATAAAGTAATACATATCAATAAACTTAGTCACTTATGCCTGTTTGGTTAAATTACTGGTATGCAATGTGAAAACTATAATATACATAGAAAACATAATATAAAGGATGCTGACCATGGACACTGCACCAATAGAGCCAGTGTGGAGATCTGAATGGGAATGGCCCCCGTAAGCTCCTATCTTTGAACACTTGGTTCCCAGTTGGTGGAACTGTTTGGGAAGGATTGGGGGAGGTTTTTCACTGGGGATGAGCTTTGATGTCTCAAAAGATTTGGGTCATTTTCACTGGGCTTTCTACCTCCTGCTTGAGGATCAAGAGTGAACCTTGACATGGATTCTAGCCCTCTAAAACCATAAGCTGAATTAAATTTGTGACAGCAATGGAAAAGTAACTAATATAGCCAGAATCTAAGAGATTTATCAGAGGGACCAAGGCTTTCTGAAAATGAACACTCAGACACTGAAGACACAAAAAAGAACAAGATTCCATGTCTTCCTCCAGAAGTGCTGAAGATCATACCTCAGGCATGCCAGGCAAGTGCTCTGTCACCCAGTCATCCCCTGGCCTCTAAGTCTCTACACCGAAGAGGGGCAGAAGCTGCTACAGAAGAGACACGGAAGTCAGAGTGAATACAAGAGGGAAGCCAAGCTCGTCTAAAGCATGAGGAGAAGTGACAGGGCAGAGGGAAGGCTGCAGCGGACAGAAAGCCTGTCTAGTCAGGGGGAGTGGAATCTGCTGTCAACCGGGAGCACGGCAGAGGGTGAGCCGAGGCAGCGGCATCTAAACAGTCAGTCAGTTCTCACAGTGGCCTACGGTGAGCACTCACAGCAATGACTAACTTTCACAATCCTCAGCTCAAAGCGTAAGTCTTTGGTAGTTGTTGGTTTAGTTTATTTATTTAAACTTTTAAAATTCAATTTATTAATTGTATATTTCAAATTTACATGTGAGTACACAAGGAGATCAAAGGACAACTCAGAGGAGGCCACTGCTTCTTTCCACTGTACAGGTCCTAGGATCAACCTCAGACTATCAGGCATGACAGCGAGGGCCTTGACCTCAGGAGCCATCTTTCTGGCCCTGGTTTGCTTAAGTAATAAAATAAGCAAACCAACATAAACTTAAAGTTTAAGAACATAAACTTAGGGAGGGCATGGTGACTTAGGCTTGAAATCTCAGCACTTGGAAGGTTGTTGGAACAGGAGGACAGCCAGATTTCTGAGGTGAGGGTGTGCTATTTAGTGAGCCCTGGGCTATCCTGGGCTACAGAGTAAGACCGTCACACAAAAATGAAATGAAATCAGAAGCAAAGTAAAACAAAACAACATAAAATTAATGGGTCTCCATGAGAGTTTAGATACATACACATTGTGGTATGCTCACGTCAGCTGAGACATATCTTTCTTCTCAAATATTTATCATTGCCATATAGTGAGTGAGATTTTCAAGATCCTTTCTTACCGCTTTTGGAATGTATAGTACATTACTGATATTTATAGACAGCCTGCTGTGCTCTATAGCTTAGCAAGTTGATGACTTCTCAGTGCTAATTTCCTTCTCTGCAAAGGGGGTAAATAACAGCACCTACTTCATAAGATGAAATAAGTTGACATCTGTAAATCATAAAGAGTTTTTATAGAAAGTATTATGTGTATTAGCACATATGAAATAATTAAAAGAGCCAAAAAACATGTTATGCTCATGCAACATAATCTAACACATACCAAACATAAGCACAGGTAATTGTTACTAGGCTGGCAAAGGAAATACGGTCTAATAGGATGAGAAGCTAGATGGCTTCCTGAAAAGATTGCCACAGACTGAGAGAAAACAGGGAAGAATTCCACCACAGGGAAACAGCAGAAACACAACCCTAAGGATAAAGGAGATGGAAGACAAGGTTCACAGTAGAAATAACAACGACCAGCTGGCACGGGACGGACGTCAGGGTTAAACTGTGCAGACTCTAGTGAGAAGTGATGCTGAGCTGATGTGATGGATTACAGCAATTTTGATTCCTTAAAAAGTATCAATACTCGGGGCTGGCGAGATGGCTCTGGTTAAGAGCACTGGCGGCTCTTCCAGAGGACCCGGGGTTCAATTCCTAGCATCCATATGGCAGTTCACAACTGTCTGTAATTCCAGTTCCAGGGCAACCAATGCCCTCACACAGACGTACATGCAGGCAAAACACCAATGTACATAAAATGCAAAATTATATAAAAAGTATCAATACTCAAGCTAGAGAAGCAGTATGGAAAGAGCACAGACTTTCGGTTCAGATCTGGGTCCAAATTCTCCCTTTATCATTTCCTTGCTGAACATTCTTGGACAATTCACTTAAAAAGTGATTAGGCAAAGCTGTCTAAACCTTGGCTTTCTCTCACTGGTACAACAGATCAAATCTTATAATGTGGCTTGGAGTAGCCAATCAAAATGTGAAAGCATTTTATCACGTTCTGTAAATGACTGCTTTACAAGAGTTAGTTTTAAAAGATGGATAATTCTTTGGGTCACAGACCAGTGGAGAATCCTAACACTTGCTCACCTGCAAGCTAATGATGTGTCTGAGAACCAAGAGAATTTAGCACATTGAACATTCTAGATATACTGCACGGATGCCACACTGGTAGGTTGTAAGGCTGACTGCACCTCTCTAGAGGCGGGGCTAAGCAAGAGATACACTGCAGCAGGAATGAGACAGACAGAGGTGGGGAGGGAGGCTTACAGGAACCAGAGAAGCCATCAGTACTGACTCTGGGAAGTGTGATTTACAGTCCCGCAGGACTGAGCTGGTGCCAATTGGTGCATTAATTTCCTTCCTTCCTAAGAGGAATACCCGCCAATGACGGAGATGGCAATAAACTAACAGTCTAACAAGCAAGGCCCCAGTAACACCAGAACACTGGCTACCTTTTCTAAAAAAGTCCCCTTTGAAGAGCCCAGTTACTGTAGTGAGTGTCTAATAAAGACGGATCACAGATCACAGCAAGGCATAGCAAAACAATTTTGATCTTTCAGTGCTCCCTGTTCTGCAGGACCCTGGAGAGAGAACAAAACCAAGGAAAGGCAGCAGACACTCACCAACTTGTGGAGTAAGTCATCCTTCTTACTGTACGGAGAAGAAAACGTCCAGCTCTTGATGCTTTCTGCCAGCTTGAACAGGATGCCTTGCTAAAGATTATGAATGATATGTGTAGAATTATTAATTAAATACACTCAAAAGGCAAGAATACTAAACAACTTACCTCTAAGTAACTAGAATTTTTAACAAAAATGAAAAACACTTGTTTAGGTTATACACTAGTGTCAGTGTGTCACAGTCTCCTCGTTTATTTCCACTTTTAGCTGTGCAACAGAATGACCTAGAATTTATATTTGGAATTACTTTCCTGGGTCCCTAAACTAGAGGTTTGTTTTGGATTTTTGAGACAGGGTTTCTCCGTAACTTTTTTTGGTTCCTGTTCTGGAACTAGCTCTGTAGACCAGGCTGGCCTCGAACTCACAGAGATCCGCCTGCCTCTGCCTACCGAGTGCTGGGATTAAAGGCGTGTGCCACCACCGCCTGGCTAAACTAGAGTTTTAATTAATGAATTGAAATGAAGCCTGTAAATCTGATTTAAAAAAAAAAAAAACAGTCAGAAGTCACCATAATGTAGCGCATTTATCTTGGGAAGACTGCATTAACAGGACGATTATATTTATTTCAGAATGAAATCATAGCATGGTACAAATTCTCAGTATTAATATTATGTTATAAAATAATAAAGCAGAAAGACATTTTATTCCTTTTATAAAAACTGTCATGTACCAGAACTTTTATTAATGAATCAATTAAATATGTAATTTACCTTAATAGCCCCATTCCCTGAACATGCCAGTAAATGCAGTTTATAACCAGTTAGTAGGGCTGGAGAGATAAAGAGATTTAAAGAAGCTTAGAAGATGTACTGGCTCCATAAATATGTTCATTTGCTTCCATGATTAATAGACTATTTCTCTATGCAAGAACAGAGAGGCTTCCTTGACTAACTTAACACAAGATATTAAATGTTGGGTCCAACTTCTCCTCTGGGATTCGTCTTACCCAATCTATTGTTTTGAAAACACAAAACCTGATTCTACCTGACTTGTAAAAGGGAGTTCTGGAGAGTGGGCTGGAAATTGGGATAGATATTTGCTGATATTGTATGAGTTGAGTCAAAATAGATGTGTCGTGGTATGGTGTTCAGGGCCATTGAAGCAGATACTTCCATTTAAGCCAGGATCTTAAGGTCAACCCCTTGGCTTGGGCCTTTTGCATTTCCAGAGATTTTGTCACGTTCTGCTGGGTTGAGGGTACTTGGGAGTGTGGTCAGGGCCCAGGGCTTAAATATCACCAGAAATATCTTGGTATACTGCCATGCAATGGCACCTAACCGTTCAACTTTTGCACATAAGTTTACAGAAAACAAAAACCCAAAAAACCCAGTAGGGCTGTGTGTGCACACAAGTCAATGGTAGAATGTCTGCTTGGTATAAAGAAGAGCCATGTTTAAGCCACATCACCAAAACAAAAACAACCCCAAAGAACAACAGAATTTGGCTGGTAAGATGGCTCAGCCAAAAAGGCCTCTTGCTGCCAAGCAGGACCACCTGAGTTCAGTCCCCAGAACCCAGAGTGGAAGGAGAGAACTGATCCCTGCAAGTTGTCAGTGTAGAAAAGGGAATTAAAAAACAAACCAAAATGATTTAATGAACACGCCACTTAAGAGAGAACTATCACTGGCAAAGTTCCAGCTAAGGTTTCTTGATCCTCTTCAGACAATTTCAATATTTAAGAAGTAATATATGCTAACTCTCAAATCATTTTCATTTGCTCAGTTCATACCACCTGCTCACAAAAAAATTCCAGAGCAGCAGAAAGACTAAGGTTTACCTTTGACAGCTGTAACCTATTAGTGAAATAAGGAAGTTTTATCAGCGTGAGGAGGAATTGAACTCAGGGCCTCTCAGGCTGGGCAAGCAGTTACCACTGAGCTACATCTTTGGCCTTAGAGGGTATTTTAATCATTAAAGAATAAAAGATGAAGGCAGAAAAGTGGAGCATGCTTCCTTACTTTTGGTAGGACTCTTGCGGGAGGTTTGTGAGGTCCCTCTGTCGGCAAGCAGTTTTCTATTTTTGGTGGCAAAGAAGAACATATTTCAAAATCTGTGTGTCCCAAATCCTGTAAGTACTGGTAAAGGGGAGAGTTCTGAAAGAAACAGGAAATGAGGCAAATCTCAAGATCACTGATGTTTCCAAAGTTTTAGGATCAAATTCAGAATCACACCTGAATATCAGCTTATGGCACATTTTTATGGCTTCTCTTACGAAAACTGAAATGATCTGCTAATTAAAGTCGCACTGAACACCAAATAAATCAACCAACATGCAACAAAAAGACCCAAAAAGGAAAAGCTCTAAACAGACACACATTTTTTGAGTGAGTACTAGCAAGAAAAATGAACTCAAAATTAAAAATAGATTTAAACAATTTTTTAATCCAAATTTTTGTTGTCTTTAAGTAGAGCATTCCAAACAGGCAGTGCTGGCTACTGATAACTGGTAAGAGGACCTGGAGTGAAACAGTTACAATTTAAAGCCAAGAATTAAATACATTCATTACAATTTTATGTGTAATGTTATACATAACACGCTTATCACTTTGTTTAGCACTACCATGCCCATTACCCACCATACTTGACACTACAAACAACTCAAGTTACTTTAGGAAAGTCCTCGTTCACATATTCGATAATGCAGAGATTAGAGAGGCTGGTTTAAAATAAGCAGGAGGTCACAGTGGTAACAATACAAACACTGACATTGGGAGTGATATAACACCCTATGTTTCTCAGAAGAAAAAAAAAACCTCTGTAAGCAAAGCTTAGGTTCAGTTACTAACTCTACTACTAGCTAAGTATCAGTTTCTAACTCTGACAATCACTAGCTAAGTATCTGTGGTAATTTATAAACCACGGATGCTTCAGCTGTCTCACACAGGACAGGATACTTACACCAAATGCAGAGGGGTCTCAACATGGTGGTGCACATTCCCAGTGCTTGGGAAGCAGAGGCAGGTGATCTCTTGAGTTTTAAACCAACCTGGTCTACATAGTGAGACTGTGTCTCAAAAATAAAACAAAACAACAAACCCAGGAAGCACTTAGAACAGTCCCTGGCAGACACCTTTTTGTAAGTTATATGGAAAGGGCATAAGCTACAGGACAGAGAGCCTTGGCCCTGGCCCCAGGCTTTGTGTAACAGTTTCCTCCAAGACTGCAGGGAAGCTCTCTAAGCAAGGAGGCAAACAACATATATTCAGGAAGTCCCCAAAACTGACCGAATTCACTAGACCAGAGAAAGCGGTAAAAGCAGTAACTCCCTCGAAGGCAAATAAAGCCAAGCTGCAGAGAAGACTCCTAGATGAGCAAAGCTGTAAGAACATACTGAGACAAGACTCGGGGAGAAGCTGACACCAGCCAAGATGTCTGGAGAGCTTTAGACCACCTGAGGCAGCTGGGAAGGAAAGCTCCAACCTGACGAGCTGCCTGCAGCCTGTGCACTGTGCTCCAGGTTCCCAGCTTTGTGAGCTGTCACCCCTTCAGTGGTGGGTTTTGGTGATGCAGCTGTCCATGAGTCATTTCTGTCCCTGTAAGGAGCCCCTCACCCATAGTCCTATAAGTAACTCAATAAAATGTCAGTTCCCCAAATACTACTTCGGTCTGCCATGGGCTCCCTATTTGGGATGAGCAGACTTGTGTGGCATTTCCCCAGGAAAAGTTTTGTCACACAACACTAAGTCACCCCAATTCCATTAAACAGAAACATACTGCTACTATCAGATGAAAATTTATTGAGAAACTTATCATGATCAGTAGCAAAAATTAATTTTAACCTTCAAACTTTTCTAAAGTAAAAATTGGGCAACATGCTTAAAACTTAAAACTTCTTAAGGGGCTAGAGGTATGGCTCAGGGGTCAAGACTTACTGTTCTTGCACAGGAGCTGAGTTTGATTTCCAGAGCCCCACATGGCTAACAACCATGTGTAACCCCAGTGTGAGGGAATCCAACAACTACATACATGAATACATGCAAAACATCCTCATATATAAAGTAAAACAAAGAAATAAACAAACTTTGAGAGATAGAGAGATGGCTCTGCAGTTAAGAGACTTGTGTTCCTGCAGAGGACCCAGGCTTGTTTCCCAGCAGCCACCACGGCAGCTTATTATTGTCCATAACTCCAGGTCTTGGGGATCTGACACCCTCTTCTGACCTATGCAGACACCAGGGATGCGCTTGGTAAACAGATATCCATATAAAACACTCAGACACACAAAATAAACAAATCTTTTTTTAAAGCCTTGATACCATTCAGTGAAATACCCAAATCTTAAAAAACAAACAAGAACTTCAAGATCTGTTAGAAAATCAGTGTTAGAGACAGCACAAAGCCAGCAACAGAGCTGCCAAGCTAAGGTGGGCAGAAACTGACTCTCCAAAAGCACTCTAGTTTACTCAGGAATAGCAAAGGATTGAAATCTAGGGTGCTCATGTGCCATGGTGTGACCCCCTCAGAGGGTTGGAATCTGGGGTGCTCGTGTGCCATGGTGGGTTAGGGCAGGATTAGAGCAAGGAAGGGTTTTAAGGCCCAAGGAACCACTGGATACAGGCGCTGTGGGTTGTGGCTAGTGGAGGAAGGGCTACACAGAATTGGCATAACCAATTATAGCCTCCAATGAGACTAGGCACTCTTCTGAGAAGAGGCATGGAGGATGGTGAGATAGGGACACATCCATACATGTAATTTCTAATGTTTTCCATTATATGTTTCATTCCTGAAATTTTCTATTTGTGATTGGCAGTGCAAATTGTACCGCTTTTGCCCACACACAAACCCAGACCCTGCGTGAACACCAAAGCGCTATTCTCTACCTTTGCATTCTGGATTGCAGCTTTATTTTTACTTGTATGCTTCAATGCCTTTTGAGCCAAAAGAAAATTTAAAATTTAAGCAACAACACACAATTAAAATGGTCTAACTGAATGTTGCCAAGATGAACTGACCAAGACAGACCTTGGAGCATATAAACTCGGTTTAAGAACACAGGAGAAATTTTTTAGTGGAATGACATTTTACATTAATATTTATTTATTTATTTATTTATTTATTTATTTTTGTTTTTCGAAACAGGGTTTCTCTGTAGCTTTGGTGCTTGTCCTGGAACTAGCTCTTGTAGACCAGGCTGGTCTCGAACTCACAGATATCCACCTGCCTCTGCCTCCCGAGTGCTGGGATTAAAGGCATGTGCTACCACCACCTGATTTACATTAATTTTTAAAATGTAGGTATTTTTAAGATTTATGTGGATAGGTGTGTGCTTGTGTAAGTTTATATGTACCACCTGAGTACAGAAGCCTACAGGGGCCAGAAAGGACACCAGATCCACTGGAAGTGAAGTTACAGGTAATTGTGAGCCACCACATGGGTGCTGGTAATCAAACCCAAGACCTCTGCAAGAGAAGTAAGGACTCTTAACCACTGAGCCATCTTTCTAGCTCTACACTAATTCTTTAAAAAGGTTTGGGGCTAATATGTTGTTTTTTTCTTAAACTGTTAAATAATCTAGACGTTATCTGATAGCTCTCAGGAAACTACCTCTTCATCAGTGGGTCTCAAAGTCCAGACTCTTGAAGCCAAACACTGGTGCAAGCCTGTGTAACCCTAGTACTTGGGAGGTAGAGGCTGGAGGATCATGAGTTCTTGACTAGTTTTAGCAACATAGCAAGTTTGATGCTGGCCTGGGCTACATGAGACCATGTTTCAAAAAAGCCCCAAACAAACAAACAGACAATTGACTCCCTTCTCAAACAAAAGAATTTTCTAGCTTTAAAAACTGAAGAACCCAAAGACTGTCTTCTCTGTATACTGTTTATTGGCATTCATCACATGAGAAATTAGAAGGGAAAAAATTAAAATACTTGCTTTATTTAAAAATAACAATAAACTCATTAGGAGCAATAATGTAAGCAATGTATTTAACAAAAAATCCAAGTGAAAAATATTAATAAGAGTGTATTGACATATTTGGCAACCTCAATACTGTAATTTGGGTAATAGAGCTCTTGTAGAATGTTTTTAAAAGGCTTATTTCTTTTTTTTATATGTATGTTTTTTTTTCCCCTGCATGTATGTTTCTGTACCACATGTATGAATGCCCATGAAGGCCAGAAGAGGGCTTCGATCCTGTAGATGAGGGGTTTCAGACAGTTGTGTTGGGAGTTTATCAGGGCTCTCTGGAAGATGAACCAGTATTGGACCACACAGCTGTCTCTCCAGCCCACAAGGGCATGTTTGATCTGTTTTTGCATTCAATGTATTGTACCTTGTCTTGCTGCTGTCGCTTTTTTCCCCTTATGTTTTGCAATCTACTGAATGAAATATAAAAAGAAAAGTAATCTTTAAGTAGATGGTAAATGAAAAGCAAGAAGTACTTTAGCAGTCTTTTCTAATCCCTACAGCAAAGACAACGGTCATGACAAGGACAGCTTACCCTCAGTATAAAACATAAACTCTTACTGCCAAACTGCGTAAGCATGAAAAGGGTGAAATTGTCAGCATCAAACTTTATCATTCAATATAAAATGCATTTTTTTTTCTTTTATGAGGAGGTCGTGTTCCCACAGCAACTGTCCTAACCACTATTATTTGGAGGTCTTGGGCCATGAGGTCTAAGAACCAATCGCATCTATGGGAAGCCCTATTTTTCATATGATGAGTATCACATGTTGATGGTGACTTTGGGAAGGAAATGTGGAGGTAGGGCAAATGGTCTGCTTTCTCCCTTTGTCCAGGCAAAACAGAATCACCCATGTTTCGGTTGTTTTATGCGGAGAAAGAAAGCATCAACACTGGAAACTCTGAGGTCCTGGAGAGGATCAGTGCTGCCAAATGGAATACGAGAGCTCAGACCCAGCATGTGGGAGCGCTCCTCCTCAGGAAATCCTGTGGTTCACTCTTCCTGTAAACCCTAGCTGGCAAACACAGCAGAGCACCAGCAAGAATTTTGCTAAGCGAAAAATAGCCACGAGTTTTGGGTTGAGCTAAGAATTTTTTTTTCTTTTTTGGTGACCGAAGCATATTTTTGTAAGAAAAATAAAAACAGACAAGAAACTCCATTTTTTAAAAACTGAACAAAAGTTCAAGA